CCCCCCCTCAAATCCACATGCATATTTTATTTTGAATTATTCTTGGCCAAGAGCAGAGCTGTAGTTAATATGCTGTCATGTGTCGTTAAGATGTTTTTTCAAGCCACTTGACATTTATTTTGACTTTCAAATCACTGTCTCTAGTTGCACATCTGCAGTGAGGTGTTTAATATTATCCTTACTTTGCAAAAGTCTTGCAGAACTGAAGTTCCTATATTAAATAATGAAATTGTTTATTCAAACCTGAAGAAATGAAATAAGATGCCTCTAACTTTCTCCCTGTCTGCCACCCTGAGCTGAGAAAGCAGATAATGATAGTGGTGGCCAGTTGTTTGTGTCGATACTCACCCAGCTGAATGTGGCTGGTTACCTTCTTGTGTACTCGAGCTGTGTTGATAGTTCTGTCGTACAGATGCCTTTTGCCAGGATCTCTCACCAGTCCCCACACACAGGGAAGAGGTCTTTCTATCACTCCTGCTCCCAGAAACCCGTGCCTTGTTGCTGAAGGGAAGACTTTGTAGTAAACCAGCACCTCTTTTTCTGTACATTGATATCTGTCAAAGACAAAGGAAAGATATATTTGCACACAAGAGAGCAGAGTACCTAAAGGTCTCTCATTATAAAGACCTGCCAGAAACTTACTTCCACCCAGCTGCTGCTTGGCACGTGTAGAGATTCCTCAGGTTATGAGAGCATGCTGCCATTACCTTAGAAAACAATGACAAATGTACAGGTAAGAGAAAGTTGTTTAAACTATAAATTGCGCTCAGCTTTTGCACACTGCTATGGTATTTTCTACTCAAACTTTACCACAAATAATTTTACAGTGCTAGTAATCCTTAGGGACTATTAACAGCCAGACTGACTTGCTGTCATATTCTCTGTGGAAGGAGGAGACATGTATATGTGCCTAAGCCTGTATGCTATTGTGAGAAAATGGGAGATAGGGAGATGATTCTATGAAATACAGAGTCATGTCTTGCCCTACACCAATACATAAAACCTCCACTGTAGGAATTATTGGGTGCTAGAGGAGTTCAGCAGTTTCACCAGCTTCACTCAGACATTTCAGCTAAAACACAACATTCTCTTCTGAACCCCAGTGCTGCAGCCTGGGTCCCTTTTCCCTGCCATTTAAAAGTGCTCAGTGTGTCTCCCTGTAACTGAGAAGTAGGTAACTATTGGCAGTGTAGAGCAAGACTTGTCCCATCCATTTTTGCTACAACTTCCAGTAGGAGATATAGGAATAAATGAAAACTCTTATTATTTACTTACCTCAGTGGTAGCGTTGGCCAAGATATGTTTGGATAAATCTTGGTATCCTTCTGTTGAAGAGGAGCTGACTGAAATAGTTAATCCATGAGTGAACCTACAGCTGATGCTACTGGAAGGAAGGGGTGGCTCAATTCTGCTGGCTTCTGCAGGAAACAAAAAAGGAGAATAAAAGAAAAAAAAAAAGAAAACCACCACTATTGTGTACTTGCAGGGACCTAAACCCTCCCCTGGAGCACCCAGTGCACCTGATCCTGAGGGAGGACTGGTACCATCCCTTGTCTGGATAATCTGTGCATTGGTAACTACGCTGCGGTTACAGTTTGCATTACTCAAGTTTAACAGTTATTACCACATATAAGCTAATCAAATACTGTGAAGAAGACCAGCCAACATCAGTCTTAGGGATAAAAATAAGAACTTGCATGTACAATCCTTTAGCCCCCCCTGCTTCCTTGGTTCATTCAAAGCATTATCCTCAGATCCTCTCAGAACACTGTACTTTGATGTTACCACATCAAAAGAGCAACTTCAGAGGGACCAAATCAGCATTTACTTTTTCAAGACATTCTAAGCAAGCTGTGGCTACTGGTAGACAGTATTTTTCTGAAGTCATGTAACAGTAGGGACAGCCTCAAAATACCCAGAAGCAAATTAGAATTTGATTTGCATAAATGACAAACCTCATTAGGCTTTGGGATACAACTCAAACATAAGCAGATGTACGTTTTACTTACCAAATGTTGTATCCTTCTGTAGTTGCTCTAGCACATAAAGCTGACTGTTTCTAAGAGCTGAACGACCTCGTGTATCTCTTGAAAGCAAAGCATTTCCAGAAGAAATCTGATTTAAGAAAGAGCAGAGGTGGGGGCTTTTGGTGCGGGCTGGGAAAAATATGTTACATAGCAAGTGGAAAATTCATGGAAAATCTGCCTTACAGGGTTGGAAGCTTCTCTTTATCACAAGATAACTCCTTTGCCTTTACCCTAGTTATGAAATCATACCTTGACTCAGGACATTTAGCAAACCAAGAGTGAGGAGCTAGCACATGTTCATACTCCGAAAAGTAATTACAGGAAAGTTCATATTCACACACACAAACTCCAAGTCAATGTATGCATCGAGGGAGGCACACTGAGAATATAAAATTCTGGTTTATCACAAGAAAAGGCTTGTTTCTAAAACATTTGACAGATAGTTGCATTACTGACAATAGTAACACTGTCTGGTTTAAAAAGAAAAACCCAGAAAAATAAGTGTCACTGTCTTTTGCAATTACATGGTAATGCTCCCTCCACCCCACGCCACCCCTCTGCATACTAGTGACACAAACTTGTCCTGTTTGCTAGCTGTGTCAATACAAACCACCTCAAAAAAGGTTTCTGTTCCTGTGTTTGCTCTCTGTTGTTGAAGCATCAGGAGACATCAGTCTCCCAGGGCAGTGGTGTCTCACCTGTCCCTCCTGGCTGCTGAGGTTACTGGCAGTGCACGGAGCAGTATTACTGCTGTTGTAGCCAGATGTTGGGCCCGAGGAGAGGCTGAGGCTGGAGTCTGTACATAAAGTGCTTGTACTTGCAAGAGTCTTCAGCCTTGCTTCTTCCTGTAATTGGTATCACAGTCTTACAAACAAACGCATAAACCTTAACCTTGCACAGCAGCCAGTCAAATCAATCACAGCACTGAAAGATGAAAGAGGAATGATCTAAAGTCCAACTGTTGACAGGACAAAAGCTGTTGCCTTACAGAAGGTGTTAAATAAGCAGGCTCATTTGAAAGACTACGATTCTATAAGCCATAGAGCAAATCACCCTGAAACACCTGGCTTCTGCTGCTGTTATTCACATACAGGAGTCCAGGCTATCAAACCTCAATGCCGGCCCAAAAGATGAAGAAAAAATTACCTAATAAGAAAATACTGTGAACTTCAAGATTACTCATACTTTCAAAGGCAGTTTTAAGTTTGGTTTTGCAACTCAGATGAAGTACATCTGTATTTACAAGAAAAATACGGCAGCAGATGTGGTAAGATCCAGTCATCCAGTAGAGGTGCCTTAAAGGGTGCAGAGCAATGAAATGAGTGTTCGCCACATACACATGTGAGGAGAGGAGGCCTGCAGCTGCGATCGAAGATGCATTGTCAGACAGTGACAAAGATTACTGCATAAAAGTACAGAAGCTGGGCAGAACAGACACATCCTAACGAGGCATTGTCCTTGCATCCTGCAGAAAATTTCACACACCTAGTGCAGAACAAAAACAAAAGTACAAGACAAACATGCCCACAGAAGACAGTCTAAAAAGAGAAACGGAAAAAAGAATCAAGACCTTTGTGTTTAAGCACATACTGAAATAAACTCAAGTTTACCTTAGCAAAACTATTCCAGAGACTGCACATATACTCAGCAGGATGGCTGCGTAAGCTCCATGCCATGAGAAAACGCTAGGGTTTCTTGTACATAAAACATGGCTTCAGGAAGATGTAGTTCAGA